CAATCACTGATAAGGATGACATCGATGCGACTTAATGAGTCCCAAATATTAACTTTTTTCTTCCGTCAAATTAAATTCTAAAACATTTTTTTGCATTTATTAGAAAAATTAATAAAGACGTTTGCATTGTTTGTAGGTAAAAATCATTTCCTATTTAGTATAAATGGGTATTAAAATAAGTAAAATTCACCATATAGCCCGAATTAGTAACGTCTTATGTAAACAATGCACGCGCTATTGAGCCAATGATTGATGTCGCGTGATGTGACGTCACGTGTTGAAACAGTCATCTGTAACAGAGATATTAAAAGATCTCTGTGAAACAGATTGATAATATATCTGTAAGGTTCCAAAGAATAGAGTCATACAACCTCAATCTGATTAATTCGTTTCGTTTTTTTTATACTTTCGATGACATACACTACATGAACATCTGACCGGTTATAGCGATAGGTCGCGTAAGAGGTCATACGAACAGCTATTGACCCTATGACGTCAGACATTTGATGTTATTAGTGGATTACCCACAGTTCCGTGCAAAACACACCTAAAGCTCGCCGTAACAGACCGTTTCATTAGCTATTCCCTCACATCATTCAGAACAAGTCAATGATAACAACTCTTCCAGATACTAGTGTAGTAAAGACAAGTAAAACAAAATTTTGAACGATAAAATCCCTCACATCATTCAGAACACGTCAATGATAACAACTCTTCCAGATCCTAGTGTAGTAAAGACAAGTAAAACAAAATTTTGAACTATAAAAACGAAACAAAATAGGATCTGTGTTTTAATTAGATTGATACACCCTTTAAACAGTGAAGGTGATTCACTGATAATTTACAACATTTTGAAAGCCAAAGTAAAGACCTACAATAGAGAGATTTATTTGTTACATAATACATCCTGCTGGATATAAACGATACCAAATAACGCCCACGTGGGTGAGATACTGTACGTAATTAATATATGATGTAATCACGGTAATATGCTGATATTAATTAACAGAGGAACATCTGCCTTACCTGTCATATATTACAGGTATTTTTGGACAAATTAAATGATGAGTTTAAGACCAGACATAGGATAAAACTGGTATTTTTAGACATATTATTGGAAAATTGGTGAAAACCAGATATAGGGTTCATATATATAATGTAATCAGTGGATATAATTAATAAATGAACACCTGCCCTACCTGTCAGTGTCATAGATACACAGGTAAAAGGAATACATGTATAACAAAGTTACTGAAAAAAAAAAGGCGTATATACGTATTTTGAGCTACATTAGTTTAAGAAAAATTAATCAATTAGTTAAAAACCAGACATGGTTTAAATTTCTATTTCCATTACCTATTTTTATTCTGTGCAATTTAAGACCAAAATAACATTAATTGCTATATTCAATACATACTGTATATCCAAATTAAGACAAAAAAACATCTCACAGTTGCGTTCATTACTTATTAAAATAACATTTTACTATTGTCACACGAATGCGTTTCAGAGCCATTTGTAACAAGGGATTTGAAGAACTAGGCTAGATATATTCCACATGTTATGTCAAACGGTGTGACGTCATATTCTTATCTGGAGAGCATGCACAATAAATACTATCGGTGTAGACTGGAGTAACAAGACGTTAGAGATTGCCATTCGATTCAAACTTCTGGCACGCTTCGCCGAACATAAATGATTAGAAATTACAGTAAAAACATAAACGATTGAATATATCGGTAAATCAGTTTATATACATTCATATCACATTATTATATGCATTGCAACCCATTTATGTCAATTTCTATTTCCAGAATATTAGCGATTTAGCTTCTTTAAAGTTCTGTTGAATAAAAGTTAAAAAAAAATATCCCACTGATGTATTCATTAGAAATTATAGATATTTATAATTTAATTTACGATAAAAATAACCCATTGTTTATTCATTACTTGTACTTCTATCCAAGTATAATTTGACACCCTGGGTCCTTGTATATCAAAAACTAACACATATTTGTTACTATGGAAACACAAATATTATTAAATCCAACAATTTTCTAATTAGCAACAGTCACAACTGCAAATTATATGATTTTCTTTAACTATATAGTTATTCAAATAAGATTGATATGTTTTAAAAATGCATACATTGTCAAAGAGAAAGAATTCAAAAACAATCCAAAGGCTTCGAGTAATTTGTTTCCTTTAATATGTGTACACAGAGTTTCAATGGTTTATCAGATTTGTTCTGGATGATTGACAGCAGAGTTTCAATTCTATATCACTCACTTTAATTCACAGGACAAAAAATACTACATTACTTTATTTATAACTTATTTTAGAGAGAAATGAAATGAAATGAAATGGGGTTTAACGTCCTACTGTTCTGCTCCTAAACTGGGCTAATGAAGACGGGCATACGCCATACAGTGTGCTATGAGGGAAATTTTGCCCGGGCAGCTGCGCTATGGCCTACTCTTACATCGAATTCCAACTGTCAAGGGATCTTTTACGTGCATGCCAATGTGTACACAGGGCCTCGGTTTTTCGTCCCATCCGAATGACTAGACAGCTGTCCTTGTCAGGCGGTGAATTGAAACAACATCACTTGACTCAATGACAAACACACCCTTATTTTAGATGCATGGAGTATAATTTAAGAAGCCAATCAAGTTATATTTTAGAGAATAAACTTGTTAAAATCCCTTCTTATTTTAGATGCATTGAGTATAGTTTAAGGAGCCAATCAAGTTATATTTTAGAGAATAAACCTGTTAAAATCCCCTCTTAGTTTAGATGCATTGAATGCATGTATAATTGAAGGAGTTATTCAAGTTATATTTTAGAGAATTTACTGTTAAAATCCCCTATTATTTTAGATGCATTGAATAAAATTTAAGGAGACAATCATTTAATATTTGAGAGAATGAACTGTTAAAATGTCATATTTTGAATCCCGCGCAAACTACAATATCTCTAAAGCTGTAACGGTCTAAAATTGGTTGAATAACGCTCAATATTTACAGAGAAGATATATAGTCAAAACAAACCAGCTTCACCTATAAATTTTGCTGCTATCTCTTAATGGGCCTGTTGTAGCTCTGATTGAATCCATGCTATGAGAATATATATCGCCGAGGGAGGTTGGATGGCCGAATGGTTAGCATGTGTGTGCTGTATCATAAGGCCTGTCATTGAGTCAACTGGCGTGATTTCGAATCCCCGGTTGTACGTGACAAGGAGTAGGGTCGCCTGTCCAACCTCATGGGTTTTTTCCGGGTCCTCCGGTTTCCTCCCACTGCTAAAGACCCCTACCCGCAAGCAAATTATTGAAATAAAATTAAACCATATTTTAGTCCCGAAATGACCTAGTTTGTGATTTCGAATCCCCGGTTGTACGTGACAAGGAGTAGGGTCGCCTGTCCAACCTCATGGGTTTTTTCCGGGTCCTCCGGTTTCCTCCCACTGCTAAAGACCCCTACCCGCAAGCAAATTATTGAAATAAAATTAAACCATATTTTAGTCCCGAAATGACCTAGTTTGTGTCAAGTGGATGTTAAACCCCATTTCTCTCTCTCCCTATATATCGCCGATATCTCTTGATGAGAGACAGAGAGAGAGAAATGGGGTTTAATGTCCACTCGACACAAACTAGGTCATTTCGGGACTAACATATGGTTTAATTTTATTTTAATAATTTGCTTGCCCGTAGGGGTCTTTAGCAGGCTTCATGATACAGCGCGCACGTGCTAACCATTCGGCCATCCAACCCCCCATCTCTTGATGAACCTCATTTTAATCTGATTGAATGCAATCAACCGTCGATATCTGGGTCTTTTTTTGTGATCAATGTTAAATAATCAATCAAAGCATATTTTACCGTTGATTTAAGCTATGAAAAATGTACATTTTCTCTGATCAGCATCTTTAGTTTGTGTAAAATCCTCTGGGGAAACATCATCCATGTCGTAGCTTTGTGCTACTTTTTCTAATAAATACAAACTTTCAGTTTTTATGCAGGATTTTCCAGTGTGGTTCCCCCTTGTCAGTGGTACAGGACATGGGACAGTGTATAGTCATTCGGATGGGATAAAAAAAACTGCTGCGTTTTGGAATTCAAAATAAGAGTAGGTCGTAGTAGCACTGCCAGGGCAAAATGTCCCTTCACTAGAGCAGTCGATGCAAAACCCCATTTTATTTCATTTACAGTATATTATATTAAACAGGCCTAACAATGTTTCAGTGAATTTCAATACGTTTTGTGGTGGATGAAATAACCATAAAAATGGATAATCAAGACTTTGTTTACTATCATAACAAACAGTAGTAATGACGATCAAGGCTAGCCTAAAATTGAAGCGCTAATATCTAGATTCAGAGTGATGATATTTGACTGAAATTTTCAGCATATTCCTTTTTCATTATCTATTTTTTAACTATTATAACAAGAACTGTCAGCTTTTTATCTAATCTTACCTAACGCCCCTTTAAAGGCTCAATACCACTCTTGTTGTAACTGAATAATATGTCCCAATCTTTATTCTGGTCAACAAATTGTACTATTTTACAACATTCCAATTAATTGATGATACAAATTTCATCTTAACACACCTAATTTAAAAAATTGGAAAAATTCAACTAAATGATTTGAAAAGCCTGACATAAAGCTTTTCAAATGTGACTTGGATTTAAAAATATTTTTGAACCATCTGGACAAGTAAAATAGGATTTAATGGATAATTTACACAACAGGTAGGACACTAACACATCTAGTACTTAGAATAAGGCTATTTTTTTATTTTCTGGAGCTGTCAAGCCAGCAAGAGTGTTATTGTCCCTTTAATATAAATTTGAAATGTCAAATTTCTGTGGGTTTCCCTTTAATTGTTCCATATATGATTCCAATATGAGTGTAATATTTTGGCGTGTTCTCCCTAGCCAAACACCTTCTGCTTTGTTACCTTATAAAAAAATATCATGTGAATCGAATAAAAACTTACCTGTAACGTTGTCTCACTTCAAAAGCCAGATAAAATCCAAATAATTCACCTTTTATATATTGATCACCTTTTTCTATTTTTTATCTAAAAACATCACAAGAAATGAAAGTTCTGTTAATCCTTTATCTTGCTACAGAGTTCGAAAAACATAAATCTAACGTTGTTTCATTTCGGGTTTAATCCAATTTAAAATGATAACCGTACGAGTTGATACAATTCCTAGTTCTTCGTGGTTGTGTCCAAAACTATTAAACATGTATCTGTAGCTCTAACTTGATCTTTCAATCTGACGTCTAAAAATACAAAAATTTTCATATAATTTAAAAGTAAAATATTTGAAACACTATCTATATATATTTTTCTTTACTTCTGCAACTTTTTTTAGGGTAATATAAGTCGTTTTAAACAGATAATTCTTCCTTTTCTAAATTTATTTTCCGTGGAGAATATCAAATCACTGTAGTTTATGCTACGTCTAATACATTTCTGATCAAATCCTGATAATATTATTTTCACCCGAGATGGGAAGTATGGTAAAAGAATGATGACACTAGCTGATGTTGGTTTGAAGATAAAGGTTTAGAATCCCACCGATTGTTGTTAAGAGTGAATTGTAAAGTTACAAGCCAGTCAGCTGAGAGTCCCACAATGATTGCAGTCATACAAACAAACACTGCCTGCTATCGGTTGTGTGTTGGGAGAACTGTCAATATACAGTAGTATGGATGAACACAGTTAATCATCAACTAGTATTAGATGAGAGAACACACTGTAAAAGCTCACTACTATACTATTGATGTAATGTAACATTAAAACTATATCCCCAGAGAGAGAGAGAGAGAGAGAGAGAGAGGGAGAGAGATGGGTTTAATGTCCACAAACTAGGTCATTTCGGGACTAACATGGATCAATTAAATTTCAATAATTCGCATGCACGTAATGTAACATCAAAACTTTATCCCTTGTATATAATGTTATCATAATTTAACAAAACGAGAGAGAGAGAGAGAGAGAGAGAGAGAGAGAGAGAGTTTAACGTCCACTTGACACAAACTAGGTCATTTTGGGACACGTATATGGTTCAATTTTATTTCAACAATTTGCTTGCGCGTATGGGTCTTTAGCAGTGGGAGGAAACCGGAGGACTTGGAGAAAACCCACAAGGTTTGACAAGGTGACCCTACTCCTTGTCACGTACAACCGGGGACCGGGGAATAGAAACCACGTCAGTTGACTCAATGACAGACCTTATGATACAGCACGCACACGCTAACCATTCGGACATCCAACTCTCCTAACAAAGTATAAGGCACAGTGAAGGCTGAAACAATAGAGATTACCTATTAAAAATTCTGCCTTTCATTTAATCTTCATGAAAAAAAAAAGAGTACGCAGTTGCTCTTCTCAAAAGAATTTAGTTCCAAATACCTAAAGGAGCTAAATCTCTATTCTTTGGCACCTAGAAATAGACACAAATGTGTCGCAATGTAATAACAATGTATTATGAATGTATATAATAAACTGATTTACATTCAATTGTTTCTGTTTTTACTGTAATTTCTAATTAGTTATGTTCGGCGAAATACACAAAGAGTCTAAATTGAATGACAGTCTTTGGCATCTGGGATTTCCAGAGTACACCGATGGTATTCTCCTAAGGGGTATGATTAGCCTCGTTCATCAAGTCGCTTCATTACAAATTGCGCTTGAAAGCATTCTGGCATGCGATTCGTGCGCCAATTTAAAAATTTCATTTTGTCTTAAATGTTGGATATCAGAAGCCTGTCTTTTCATGGTAAGATCACAACATCAATGTTGATTTAAATTGACCAATAAGTTGAATTTTCAATGTTAAAGACTAGTTAGAGTTAAAGACTTGCTCCTTTTAATTTTTGAAATCTTAACAAAATATCACACACAATATTTAAGTGTGTTATTTATTGAACAAGACCCCAAGAATTTCACACAAACTATGTCATTTTGGGACTAACACATGGTTCAATTTTGAACTCTCTGATATTAAAACTTTATGTTTCCGATCTCAATCACCCAATTTTCTGACGATATTCAATTTACCCACGAATACTCAAATTGATTAAGAAAACAAAATCACAATTTCCCAGCTTTGATTGAATGGGATTTAAAAGAGGCTCATTAAAATAATTTATCTAAGACTTATAAGTGACATTGGCTTATTTATATCATCTACATAGGATGCTAAATGTCCCATTATTTGTGGAGCCACGGTGGCTAAGTGGGTAAGACGCTGGTTTGCTAGCTTAGAGGTCGCGTGTTCGATCCCTGCATTGGCCAAGAAAGTCCATCAGGATTTTCCGATGTGGTATTCCCTTTTCAGTGATGCAGGATGGAGGGCCTTGACAAGGACAGCTGTCTAGTCATTCGGATGGGATAAAAAACCTGAGGTCCCGTGTATACATTAGCATGCACGCAAAAGATCCCTTGGCAGTTGGAATTCGATATAAGTGTGGGCCATAGTGCAGCTGCCCGGGGAAAATTTCCCTCATAACACACTGTATGGCGTATGCCCGTCTTCATTAGCCCAGTCGGAGCATAGCAGTAGGAGCAATCTGTTTCACAGAGGATTAATATCTCCTTAAAAGATAACTGCCTCTAGCACGTGACGTCACAGCATGCGGTGTCAATCATTGGCTCATGCATTGTTTACATAACATGTTACTGGTTCGGGCAGAATGACGCCTTTCACTCATTATAATACGCATTTACACTAAATAGGAAATAATTTTTACCCACAATACCTTAAACGTTTTTATTTATTTTTCTTAATACATAAAAAATGGAGACACAAGCTGATTGTTGAACATTTAAAAAACACTATTTCTAACCACAAAACAGGAACATAACTTCCACAAAACTAGGTAATATCCAGTTTAATACTTTAGTCGTGTTTCTGGCTGCAACCTGTGACAGCACAAGCGAAAAATATTTTATATTCTAAGCCATCCCTGTTTTGTGGTTAGAAATAGTGTTTTTTAAATGTTCAACAATCAGCTTGTGTCTCCATTTTCAGGATCGACCCATGTGGCCCTGAATGCCCTGATAGGGATGTATGTGGTGTTCACCTATCACTCATACGCTCTTATGTCCAGAAATATATAGTTTATCTCTTGATATAGTTTGGTTCGGTGAAATAATTGCCCCCAACCGCCGCTAACTAGTGAAAGGGCCATATTGTCTGGCATGTTTGGTTTTAATATCATCTAATCACCCCACAAAATAATACATGTTTTCAGTGTATTCCTTGACCCCAAAAACATACGGTTAGACAACAAAATTATCATCCTAGAATAAATACTATGGGAGTTATAGGGGATTATTTGATGTGGCGGCCGTCTTGGACGCCATCTTGAATTTCTCAAAACGCTCAAGGGTGACCGAGGTTCACCCGGCAGATTCTGAACGGGGACACCCTAGGCTATTAAAATCAATCATAAAAAAAACTTTGTATATAATTTCTAGGTTCACTCGAAAAATTGGGTTTGGCGACCGGACTATAGCGGCCTAGTGTATATTCACTGCTGATCCAGTGTGCTGTAGGAGATTAAACCACATTTCATTTCATTTCACATAATCTGAAGTGTTTTATTGATCATATCTTTGTAAATACTAAATAAATCTGAATAATTTTTGTACCAAATTTCCTGTTAGAGATTCAACTTTAATACCACTGAGGTTTGCAAGAGATTAAAGATACATTATGGGAGATTAGATAACGAGTTGGCAGTTCTCACTATAATAGTTAAAAACTAAATAATGTAAAGGCAATTTGTTGACAATTTCAGTAAAATTGATCCACTATGAACCGAGAAATAAGCGATCGAAAGTTCCGCATAGCCTCGGTCATCATTACTAAAGTCGGTACTACAAAAATCATAGTCTCGATTATCCATTTAATTGTTAAATCGAGAAGGAAAGTTATGCAGCAAATCGGATCAAAATCCAACAATTATCGCAGGATAGTGCTGACATCGAGAGTTGATTATGTTCTGGATACGTTAATTAATGTCTAATTAATAGTTTATATAACATTTCAGGCCTAAAGAAAGACCTGCAATAGGCATGTTTACTTCTTGCATAATGCATGTTTAACAAACCCACAAACAGCGGTTTAAAACGGCTGACAGAGAAAGCATTTAATGGTCACTTGACACGAATTAGTTCATTTCACGTTTAGCATATTATGGTTTTATTTTATTTTCAATAATTCGCTTGCATGTAAAAGTCTTTAGCAGGGGAAGGACCCGGAGAAAACCCACGAGGCTGAACAAATACCTGGGATTTTTCAGCGTGGTTTCCGCTTGTCAGTGATGCAGGACAGATGACCTGGCAAGGAACAGCATTTACTTCTTCAGACGTGACAAGAAACCAATTTCCCATCTATAACAATAGGAGGAAACCCGAGGACCCAGAAAAACCCACAAGAGAGAAAGAGAGAGAAATGGGGTTTAACGTCCACTCAACATAAACTAGGTCATTTCGGGACTAACATATGGTTTAATTTTATTTCAATAATTCGCTTGCGCATAGGGGTCTTTAGCAGTGGGAGGAAACCGGAGGACCCGGAGAAAACCCACGAGGTTGGACAGGCGACCCTACTCCTTGTCACATACAACCGGGGATTCGAAACCACGCCAGTTGACTCAATGACAGACTTTATGATACAGCGCGCACACGCTAACCATTCAGCTACCAACCCCCCAAAAACCCACAAGGTCATGTACAAGCTTATGTACCAATATTTCATTTTAAATGGACTGAGAAATCCACATATAAAAGTAAGTTGTACTGTTACTAATAAATATTACACCCAGGACGACAGACACTGTAGGCGTACAATGCAGGCTTTTAATGGACATGGATTATTGAAGAACATTTTTTAACCTTTACAAGAAAGGCTTGATGAATACAATTCACACAATTAAACACAAGCTGAGCTACTAGAACATAAAGCAATATTCGATTGATCTATAAATATTTGAAATCTCCATGCAATGTGACATCAAATGTTGATCGACTGTCAATGCTAGATTGTCTATTTAGCTTTTAGATCGGGGGGGGGGGGGAGAGAGAGAGAGAGAGAGAGAGAGAGAGAGAGAGAGAGAGAGAGATCTTAACTCAACTCCACAACAGCTAAGCCATTTCTGGGAATCTAAACCACACAATTTGACTCAATGACAGACTATGATCTCAAGCGCATGTATAAACCCATCTGGCCACCTAACACGAAATAATTAAAACTTGTCCTAAGTATATACATATTCAAGCACTAGATCACATAATATATGGTAAAAGGGGATCACTTATGTATAGTAATAGGGGATCATGTAATGTATAGTAAAAAGGGATCACATACTGTATGATAAAAAGGGTTCACATACTGTATGATAAAAAGGGTTCACATACTGTAAGATAAAAGGGATCAAATAATGTATGATAAAATGGGATCATGTATTGTATAGTAAAAAGGGATCACATACTGTATAAAAAGGATTTTTCCTTTGTATGATAAAAAGGGACCATGTACTGTATGATAAAAAGGGTTCACATACTGTATGATAAAAAGGGATCACATACTGTATGATAAAAAGGGGTAACATAATGTATGATAGAACAGGATCATGTATTGTATGATAAAAAGGGATCAC